AGAATTTACGAGTATCACCGAATCGCGAGTCACCAAAGAATGGGGTCCCTAAAGGAGATGTAGAGAACCTGTAATACACCCGATACCTAGAAGAAGGAGGTTTCGCGGAGCCTGAAGAGATTTCATTCATCATTTTTTTGGTATCATGCAAACCCAGCCGATGGTTGTCTATACTTTTCGGTGGACTGATAACTAACTCTAAGCTTAAGTCGGTTTGACATTTGGTTCCAAAGGATGGTGAAGCCCATTCGCTCATACAGATTCCTTAAAAACGATAAGTTTGATAGGCACTAAAATACAAGATATAGGATGGTCAGAATCAAATAGGTACACTGCAAAAAGTGGTAGTTTTGTACACACCCACGCTTGTAGCAGCTGATTGCAATGTGATAAATCTAGGTGAGGGTCTAAGATGCAGAAGGTGGACGCCGTCATTAAAAACTTTGACAAAGGTTAGTCATGAATTGATATAGATTGTGGTCTGCACAGAGTTGTGAAAGGTACTCACCATCATCTGACCTACAACCATCGAATTGTTGAGTGTTTAGCATCGCGATAGTTTCTAAGCTTTTTTCCCTAAAAAATGTGTGTATATATACGGTTGATATTCATAATTATTTAGTTCAAACAAATATAAAACGGGAAATTTTACCGAAATACTTGCATAGTTGGAAAATAAGTAAGCAGGATATTTCATTTAGTGATATTACTTGAATAGGTAATGTGTCACATATATATATATATATATATATATATATATATATATATATATATATATATATATATATATATATATATATATATATATATATATATATATATATATAAGTATTAAACATAGATGGCTTACTAAACTGAGCAGTTTTGATCTACATTTTGATAAAGAGGTCATCTTTTGTGATTCCATTGATCCTACAGAATGTTTCTTGTACTCCTGAAATTATTAAACAAATAAAACGATAATCTATTTCTATCATTGAATAAATTAGAAATTGTGTAACTCTTTAATATCTAAGAGAAAATCAATATAGATAACCATGTGTGTGTGTGTGTGTACATACACGTATATTTCTAGTGTTAATTAAAAAAGGGATTACAATAGTTGAGATTATTAATCCATTGAAAACCTGGAAGTACTGGACGATTGTTTCATCTTAAAAAGGATTACATGAAATTAGACATATAAGTTCGAGTATTTAATGTCATAGACAATGCTCAAATCGTATTATCTTATTGATACTTTATACTCATATCAACTCTTCACATTGTTCCATTATGATTCAATGAATTATCATACTCTCATTAATACATTCATGTCACATTATCACGTAACGTGGAATTATTATTTTTGTTCATGCTGAAATTAAATTATTGACATTTTTACGCAATCATATCACTTAATGAATAAGTTATAATTTTGTGAACGTGCCTTTCACGTTATGAGATTTGAAACCCATTGGACTATATTTTCATTTCAATAGTTGAAGTCATGAGTCAATTGAACCTAGATCTCCATGTAAAACCTGGAAACACTGGACGGCCGTTTCGTCCGAGTATGGGACTCCTTAGTAGTGCGCATCCACGATCCCGCCCCTCGCGAGATCCGAACCCAAGACCTATCAGTTTCGCACACGAACGCTTAACCTCTAGACCACTGAGCTGGCCAGCATCCAACAGTGTTAATGTCTAACTTTAACTAATCCACGAAATTGTGCCACCGTACACCAATATCTTCAGTGAGTTGATATTTCACAACAGATCCGATTGAACTCCACTGGTCACGGCTTCTCACTAGAACTCCAGGAAATACCTCTTGAAGTCAGTCACTAGTGAGCAGATGATTATTATCAGAAGAGGTTTTGTGGAGATTTTAGTAATTTCAATAGTTGAAATAATTGAAATCGAATGGTTAAGCGCTCGATAATTCACTGTTCTTTAATTGGCATTATAACATTAACAGGGCACAAGTTATAACATCAACTTTCAATGAATTACAGTAAAATCAGAATATCATGTTTCTTTGTTTAAGTCACACACACACACAAAAAAAACGGATGACAACAAACAAGTTATTAACACTTTGTATGACTTACTTTTTTCTCGATTTTTGATAACTGATTCCAGCGTTCATCAACTAATTGACATATATCATGGAAACTTGCATTAGGTTGTTCATATTTTATAGCCGATTGAATTTCTTGAAAAAATTGTGAATAACCTATATTTCTATAATAGAGTTTGTGTACAACATTGACAATATGAATGATAATGTGTATGTTTATACATGAATGATTATACTGATTGACATATGAACAGGAGAAACTATTGACAGACTATTAATGAATAACAGATATGCTAAAAAAATTTTTAGAAAAAAATTATTTACTCCAAACGATCTTCTTGATCAATTTTGTCTTTAACTAATCAATTGAAGGAAGCTAAGTTATCCTAAACAATCAGTTTTATTTTAAACAAACAGTATATGTACAATTAGAAATGAACAATCTGTCGAACATCTTGAAAAATAAAGGCTGTAACCAAAGGATACGATATCCAAATAATTTGACAGCTTCGTCTTAATTGATTTGACTGTGAGTGATACACAACAGAAAAGCCGCTAAGTGTGAAAAGGTTCATTTATGTATAGAAGATCAAGGGTATTTATAATATTTCATATGGCTTTGAGCTCTCGGAAGGTTCCAAAACCGTGCTAAACATAGTAGCAGGATCAGTAATCATCTAATTAGAAATGTGACACGTCACTCTTCACTTTCTAAGTATATCTGAGAAACTTATAATCAATGCTGATTGGATAAAATGTTTCCCAGTATTTTTAGGGCCCCTCTGAACTTTTTCAAGAAATAACTAAGATCTACCCAACACCGACAAGCTCATTTCCGAAAAAAATCTATATTCAATATTTTAGCATAATTCGATTATCGTTCACTTACTTACGCCTGTTATTCCTCGTGGAGGAGCACAGGCCGCCCACCAGCACATAGTTATTTCATAACCAATATCTGTAACCAATAATTTTGACATTTGACTAATTCCATACCAGATTGCCGAGTGAAACGTTGAAGCTATTGGTAATTCTAATTGCTGGGATTTTTACAAATATAATTTTCTCTGTAATTCCTTACTAAAGCTTATATAACGCACAAAGTGGATAATAAATTCGTGGAAAATTCAATTTTTCTTCATCTTCTTACCTTTTACAATTCATCTCGCCTTTTATAAATAGTTTATCAAATCATCATCCGACAAGTAACAATTTTTACAAGCCTATTCAGTTTTTTAAGTCTCGGTTAGTCGATATCAGTGCTACCTCTTTTTCGATCGATATCTGCACACTGACTCAATAAAGTATGTGCAGTCACGAATTTTTTAATTAGTTCATGGTAACTATAAGGTTGAAATGTCGGTAATGAAAAGAGGCCACTACACACACATATTTCATTAAACCAAACCATAAATTCAGTTGTAAACAAGAACCAGTGAAAGCACCTCTTTAAAAACACGGTTTTTAACAAATTAAACTGTAAGAACAATGAGACTCAATTTAATAACAAACAATTTAAAAAATAGAATTCGGTCTGTGATAAAGAGAAAAAATGCCCTGATACGGTCGAGAGTGGGGAGAATCAGTTCTCCATATCGAAATGCTCTCACATAGTCACGTGCATACAACTACTGCCAGGGAAGTCCTACTCACTGCCTTTTAGCGGCATTACTGCTCTTTACAAAATTGAAAGGACGAAGGGCGAATGTCCGGCGCTGCAACCGGGTTGGTTAACACGAAGCATCCACCTAGAGGAGTTGGAAAAACCCGATTCCAAACCAATCGTGCACATGGACTCCAGTATCCTGAAGGAACAAATGGCGTATGAACCAATCATTTGTCACCGGCTACCATGGGACTGCATCTCTCGACGTTGCTCCACTGCCTTGTGGATCAGGTCTTTAAGTCGAAGGCTCCAGGTGTGGTCCCCTAAGAAAACCACTTGCTTTGATTTGGGCACCCGGCTAGTACCTCAGACCTTACACAAATCGAATGATTTATGTGGCGCATATCTATTAGGTGCCTCCTTGTACCAATGTTTATGTGTCCGAATAATAATAATGATAGAAAATGAATTAATGATCAAAAATGTCTAACTTTTAACTGTTAGGTAAAAAGTCAGAACCTTGTTCAACCTATTCAGTTTGAGCAGTCGGATACGACTACTAACTCTTGAGCAGTTTGGCCCAAAATTAAGTACAAAGACAAGTATTTGGTCTAGATTAAATGCACTAAAATTACATAACTCAGCAAATAGCAAGATTATTCAACAAGGGAAATTAAAGCTTATTCTCGTTTAAAAGACTTACATTATTCTATCTGATTTGCCTTTTTGATAGTTTTTATCGCTATACATAAGTGTAAATTGTTTGGACCTAAGGAGCTGCAAAATAAATAAAAAAACTTAGAAGCAAAACGAATCAATTTATGATTTCTTTTACGCATCGGATCTGAACAACTTAACTTGTTGGTCGTTTCTAAATGGTTTTGCACTAAATAGAAGTTGAGAGTGACAAAATCAAATGTCAAATGTGATATTTACGGATAGATGTGATGTTGTTGATACTATTATTGAAAGTTTTAATACTTGAAGAGAATAAAATTAGCTGAATAAACGAAACGATTTATACACTTTATCGTACAATGTAAAGCAAGGTATGATCTACGTGGCATTGCTATATTGCATTGGTCACAATAATACTGAAGTGTGAAAGATCACAAAATTACCGGTTTCAGTCAAACGTAACAGAAACGTCGGCGCGGACTTGAAAAGCTTGTTCGGTTTTTGTTAACTTGCGTCACCTGTGATGTTGGGGAAGTGTCCGTTGGCCAACCAAAAGGTGAGTATACTGTGCAGCAGTACAATGCTAATTTACCGCTGTGAAACGTGTGTTTTAAAGGCCGAGGACATTTGCAGGTTACTAGTATTTGATCATAGGCGACTTCTAAGCATTTCTCAGTTTTTTTGGAACTACTGAGTAACCAATGTTAAAGTTAGACGTAGGATACAAGGCGAATATGGTTGATCGAATGACGGTGTTGCGAATCTTTGTCGAGCCATATTGTCTATTTTGAATCTCCTTTGTTATCATCGGTACTACTCCGCTTAATATCTCACTGCTCATCTTAACTTCATCTCGTTGAGCTGATGTCGTCTGGTGACTTGATACTATGTGTTTTTTTCCATATCGTACGTTCCTAATTACTGAATTTGATCTAGATGAAGGAGAGAAATACTCTCTAGTTTTATGAAGTTTCATCCAAACTCAATCAGTGTACTTTCAACGTCCACCGAAACTGAATAGTATGTTTCACCTTTGAGAAGTGAGTGCTCACTCCAAAATAACGTTATATATATAATTTTCTAGGAGCTTATTTTGAGTAAATTGAGTTTTTATTGACCTCCTACTAACATATATTTCATTTAAACCGGTTGTTTTGAACTTGTTTCAGTGTGCTCATTAATTATTGTATTTCTAAGGACAGTGTAAATATAATCATGTGTAATATCTATACCGGTATTTGGTTCCTTTAGTGGGTTTTAGATACTTCACAAAAATCTATCTCACATAAATGTGGCTGAGTGAAAAATTTGATAGTCAGTGTTTAGATGAAACACCTAACACATAAATACATATCTAAGATATAACACTACGGAAATTTTAAAGAGACGTATGTCATCACTGTCTTGTAATAAGAATTCGGCATATCTTACATACAGGAGTACAGGTAAACGTTATTACAAACAAACAGAAAAAGGAAAAAATCACGGGATTGATTGATACTGAGGGTAACCATGCGTAAAAATAAAAGATGTGATTTGTTTAACTTTATAAAAGTCCCCGTATATATCTTACTTCAGTTACAGGTAATGAAGAAGAAGTATCCACCAATTTCTTGAACTCCTCATCAGTACTGGATGAGAAAGAATCAGAATCTTCTGAATCAGATATATTTGGTAATATTGAGTCTTCAGTAGACGTGAGTTGTTGTTTAAATGAACCGATAGAGGAATCATTTTTAGATGGTTGCATAACAGTCAAACTTTTTAGAAAATCATTTTGTGATGAGTGAAGAGGACGGAAATTTGACTAAAATAATACACAAAAGGTGAAATAAATCATTCAATACGAATTTGAATTTTAAAAAATAAAAACAAACAACGCCAATTAGGAGGGCTTGAAGAAGCATGTTCACACTGAGAGTTGGCAGAACTCAAGATAGGCACAGTTTTACTTATAATATACACAAGAAGCCAGATGCATCTGAATTTCAGTAACTAATGCTATTCTCCCGGAAACTCAAACGAAAAAATATGAGATTCGAGTGACTATTATTTTACCAAGAATTATAATTAATTTGCACTTACCATTGAGGAGATTACGGATGTCACCAAATCAGTCAGTCAGCTACAATGTAGGACCAGGCACATATATGCACCGGTTCAAGTTGCCATACCTCATTAGCACAGCAGGATGAACACCTGATTTATAGGAGTGGTTCGGTCAATGGTGGTAATGTATAAAAGATTGCTTATAAGGATATAGAACAGGAAGAAAGAATTAGTTCGCAGAAAGAAAGATATGAAGTGATTTTAACCTCTTATTTTAAGGGAAGGCAAAGAGTGTATACACCTACACCCTCGTGATCGATTCTGAGCCATGTCACCAAGAGTCTCCGACCATTGGTTACGATAGTCGTTTTATTCTTGAAGTTGGTGATTGCTAAGAAGAAACGGTTCTGTCCGTAGTTGTAACGGACGGTTGCCGTCATCCAATCACTGGGCAGTGACACTAAAAAGTCATTTAAATGTATTTCAGTTTGATTCACCATACGTACTCGAGCAGTAAAATCGCCTGCTAGAATTACTTAGTCTGAGATTTTAGCTTTTTGAGGGTTAAGAAGCTTTCTGCAAAACTCATCGTTTTCTTCATTTGAACTCCAATCAGTGAGGGCATAACGGACGACTAAGTGACATTAAATTATGCCCCTATTATTTCGAGTCCTTATGATTCGGTGCAATCTAACAATGCATAACTGAAAGCCTACCGAAATCCAGTATGGGAGATTTCATTCGGCCTTCGAACTTAATACTATAGTAGCACCACCGAGACTATAAAAAGGGAAAATCAAGAACGACAGATTCAAGAAAAGCTAATCTCCCTGACTCTTCAAGCTAAGTTCAGATGAATGGTCACGCTTGGATTCTGAGTGAGATTTTCAGAGATAGTATATGACGCGAGATTCTTAACCAATGAAGCCTGTTGTTCAGTTGGACACAAATAACATGTACTTAGGAAATAAGTTCTAGAAGGCAACTAATTTGTATAACGATCAAATTTTCATTAAAGGCAAGCTCTAGTAATTACTCTAAAACTAGGTTAAGTTTAAATTTACGCATGGTTACAGCCAGAAACAACTTGTTTCTCAGCATGCTATATCCTTACATATATGGGCGAAGAAGGTATCCATCTAGACATGCTGAGCACATATTTTGATAACGTTTGAGTCAATCCCACCTCCACCACCAGATCCTCAAATACAACACAGAGAACAATCTAATCAAACTTGATGGATGAACTCTGGAAGACGTGGAAATTTTCAAGTATCTGGGTAGCATCACCGATGGACGTGGAGGATTTGATGTAGGCGTAAAGGCGATGATTGACAAAGCAAGGACAGCATTCCTACATTTAAAGAATATATGGAACTCAAAACAACTGTCAACCAACATCAAATAATCTTCCATACGAAGTCATACTGTACAGAGCTAAAACTTGGAGAACTAACACAATCATCATTCAAAAGGTAGAAGTATTTATAAACAATTGTCTACACAAGATACTCACTATCCTTTGGCCAAGTACCATCAGCAACATCCTACTATAGGGGAGAACAAACCATCTTCCATCTGAGGAGGAAATCAGGAAAAGATTATGGAGATGGATAAGACACATATTGAAGAAATCATCAAACCAAAACTCGAGGCAAGCCTGAACATGGAGTACTGAGTGGAAACGGAAGAAAGACCAAGAACATATTGAGCCGAGAATCGAAAGCAAACATCAAAAGGGTGAATAGCAACTGTAAACAACTGGAAAGAATTGCCCAGGACAGCTGGATGGAGAATGCTGGTTAGCGCCTATGCTCCTCCATGGGGGGTAACAGGCATAAGTAAGTAACTATTTTTCCAAAATTGCCCATACCCTTGAAACTGGTGGGATGAAAGCGATGCTTTAGATGCGGATTGCGTGAGAGAAACACCTTACTACTGTGTGGTTTTCGAATTTGAAACTTGACAGTTACAAGTATTCAAAATAAAGAACAAGTTGTAATGTCAAAACACAACTCATTTCCTTTTAAAAGCAGTGACTGGATTACCTTTCCAGAATAATAGATTTGCTAAGTTTGAATTAGTGAAAACCACCAGTAAACAAATATGTCTAGTTTAGATTTTTGATTTGTGAACATCGACAACTGATCATGGCGAGTCGGTCAGCTTCAAAGAAACTTTTCTTAATTCAAAACAATTAATTGATGGTGAGCAGCATATTTTACCAAGTTATATGAACTTCATTGTATATCTTTAAACCCAGCCATTTCTAAGAGGTAGACTTTATATCATCGTTGTCTCCAAAGGATTGCTGGCATCCAGTGGCAACACCGTGTTAGTAATGCAGAGGTTCAGAATCGTGTGTTTGGGCGCAGAGACGATAATTCAATTGGTGTCAGTATCTTGAAACATCAACTTCGGTGGCTTGGATATGTTTTACGAATGTTGTCCCAGAGAACTCCACGTCGTGCATTATTTGCCGACTCTGGGACTGGTTGGAAAAAGCGGAGGTGGTCAGTGTATGACATGTCGTGGTATGAAAGCTGCACAGAGATAGCTTCTGTTGGTCCTTCACGACTCCCTGGATGGGGTCCTAGAGATGGTGCAACACAGTGGCTAGATACGTTATCAGATATGGCTCAGAATAAAAACCAGTGATGATCCTGCCGTAACCTTTTACCTTCTTCACAAAACGTGACCGTAACTTCTTTAACTGAAAGGATTATTTCTGGTTGTACCTTTCTGTTTCCCTCCATTATTATTACTACTTGACTACCATACACTAATTTGTGGTCGTTATTGTTCTTTTTTTCTTTTTACACGCACCTGACACCCTTTATATCTTCCCACTCTGATTATTATTGCGTGGCGCATATGCATCTGGTGCCCCCCTGTACCAATATTTATGTGTTCAAATAAACAAATAAACTTTATATCCAAAGTTTTGACGTAAGCACAAAGATTAAATTCAGATATGCATTTAACCACCAAACATATTTAGACTCATGTAAAATTCTAGAGATTTTAGTGAGTGTTAAAAGCAATGATAGCAAAAATGTTGATTATAGTCCAACAAAAAACTATACAAATAAAGAATAAATCAGTGGGGAAATGATTATGTTGTAAACTAACCAATGGCTGGTCATCTTCATCAAGAGCATTATTTGGACTATTCTCTGTGAGACTATTAAAAATATCATCACAATCAGCATCACCATCATCCAATGAGGAATCATCTGATTTGTAGTTAGTTATTAAGGGCATACATTTTTTACTAGCCATAAATAATATTAACCCTGCGGTTTGATACAAAAACCCCGAGTACTCCTGCGTTTAACGGTAACCTTTAGAACTGACAAGTAGAAAGATAAAGAACTTATGAAATACAAAGAACATCAATTCGTTTAAGTATATGGCTGTGAAAACAAATTAATGTTGAGTTTCTAAATAATTAGCGGCTATGGCAACTTCAATTTATATCAAGATAAGATGGGTGGGATGTAGAGTCTGACACAAAACTGCATGACTAAAAGTTAGCATATCCAACCCAATAGATGTAGAACCGAAAAAAGGTAACGAAAAAAAGACCGGACAAAAAATAAACATAATAAACATCACCACTTTTAAAAATAGAGAACGAAGTGAACTTGAAGTATCAACTGCCCTTTAATTTTAATAGATATCAACTTGCCAACATATACAAGACGACAGTATAAATAATTTAACTAATTTGACTTCGGGTTTAAACATTAACCAATAGAATGTTTAAAGTCAAGTATAAAATGAGTCAGTTATAAGCAATGTTGAAGCTGGCGTATGCCGGCACTGATTTAAGTTGCCACACCATGTAAGCGCAAAGAGTATTTGTCAAGACAAATACTAAAACGGTAAAATAGTGACAGTAATAGCAATAATTAAAAGAGATCAGACAAAGATGTGGTTCGAGAAAACTTCAACTCGTGGGA